ATTGCAGAACACAGAAAAAACATGGCAAAAATGCATTTTTCAGTCGAGCACAACAAGCAGCCGGATATAACGAGTCGATCGAATAATGCCGAGTGCAATGAATCAATAATGCAGAAGCAAACCTCTCAGAATAGCCGTATAACGTGCATATGGACACTTAAGCCGGGCGACAGAGGCACGTTCAGGGCCATGTGTTGCCTAAAATTGCGTTCGGTAGTCACCCAACAAATATTTATTGCTACTTATCGAGCAGCGAATGTAAACGGGGCCGCTCTAATGGAGAACACCTAATTTCGCCCACGCGCTCGGTTGCGATCGAACCGCTCGTGTGTGAAGAAATTAATTCGGTCTGTAGACCCGTTTTCTGATAAAATCGAACGTCGTTCGTGTCGCCGGAGATATTGTCGTGAGTCATCATCGGCCGTTCTGAAATATACGAGATATAATTGTTATGTACAATTAACTTTTGTCGTTGCTCAAAAAATTCTTTGAGAACAATTATTTTTAATATATAAATTATGTTTATTTGTATTAAATTTTTTATTTCACTATATTATTAACTATTCCATTTATTTGCGATGTTCGGGCTTTTAAGTGAAGTATGATATGTCGTATCGACCTCGACGAACTAGGAGACAATTTCCTTGGACGCCTAATCAACCAACAGCGTCAAGGAAAAGTACACGACGGGTCAGGATAATATGGATAAACGACGGCGAAAATGCTAGGGCGGATAGCAGCAAGAACCGGAACGCATGTCAGCTCGTCATCGTCGCCGAAACGTCAATAGGTGTTTGGTCAAGTCGCTAATGTAATATTGTTTGCAGGAGTATCGGATGTAGGTAGCAAGTAACTCGGGAAGAATCGTTAAGAATGTCTCTAAAGCTTACTGATGACAAGATATTTCTGATCGTTTTTATATGATGAAATTTGCTTGCAAAATAGATTGCGAAACATAACAATTATATTTTTCTGCAGATATAAATATATGATCTAATTCAGCGGCATTTCGGTATTTTTTATTATAAGCACAAAGGATGTTATAACGCGTTAAAAAGAAGCTTATTGAAATCGAGACCGATACGAGGTTAATTACATTGAGCTAATTAACTTATCGTTCGCTCTCGACCCGAACATACGCGCCACACATTGATCAGTGCAGTAACCGCCTAGCGTCATACAGTGTGTTGGAAGCATTGCGAATCAGGCGTATATGTGGAAATCATAAATATAATCGGCCAAGTGGGAGCATAAATTGCTCTCGCATTAACGAGATCTGAGCGCATGCAACGTTCCCTCGAGCGTGCGTTTCCCCGATTTCCAGGGAAAAGGAGCAACGCCTCGTTGTTATTGAACCTGTACTTATCCGGCGCGGCGAACCTGTTTCTCTTTTCGTTAATTACGGGATTTATTACACCCATGATGCTTTCTTGACACTGATTGTACTCAAATTGAGATGTCAAATGACCGATTACATTATTCGTATTATTAGGAGCTAATGTTAGTTCGAAAACGCACTGTAAGTGCGAGCATGATGCAAGATAATTTCACTTTTTATAATTTATATAAATTAAAAAATATATTTCTCCGCTAAATCTGTTTGTTATGATGAGAGAAAGGATTATACATACATTATTAATTTCGATACTTTCATATGACTGATAATATATACAATTGTTTACGGAGGCATGGAAGCGTATCATTCTCGAAGGAAAAGCGTTTCTATGATACGCCTATATATGTCCGTTTTAATTACGATGCTGATGCACATGACAGACATTTTACGTTGCCTAATTATCTGCTATAGCGCAGTAAAAAGCGATATATATATTTCCGTCTAAGATATTTAGACGATCTTGATGGCAGCTGTGCGTTAACATAATCTGAGCGTATCTAGCCACGCACGTTTTGCGTGTTTCCGTGTGTTGAATTGTACTACCGTAAAATTGTAATTATGCAAATGAAGAGGGATATGGTCGAAACGATCAAAATGCTTCGCGTTTTGCACATATTTGCATAAGCGGTAAATTCCAATTTGTTGTTCGTGGAAGAAAAACCTGATAGTATAAAAATTTTCATATAATCACGATGCCTACCTTAGAGAACTTTTGCGAATCGAATATTTCCGTCGATTGCGTTAGATCCGACTGCAATGCTGTTCAACGCCGGCGACGGATTCTTGTCACGACGATCGCGAGGTCGTTTCTTCTGTTCTTCGGAGCCAGTTAATGGCTCTGTTTTTCTTTCCTATCCGATCCGTCATTGACTTCCGGACGTGTCCGCGGCCAACCGTTTCGCGACGCCGTAACTCGTGCCAATCGGCAGCAGATTTGCGTGACCGTGACGCAAAATGCACCACGGCGCCTCCCACTTCGCCCGATTTTTGCGGCGCGGCATTTTAATGTCTCTTCGCAGCGCACGGTGATTCAGCCGTCGTTTCGTTCTCTGTAATTTATCGCCCCGCCGACCGGCCGTGTCCTTCCTCGCCGCCATTCTCATAGTTCGCACGTGCTGTGGATAAAACCAAATATTGCATTAATCCAGAAGGCGCTGTAATTATATTTTATGAGATTAGTAAGAAGCAGCCGACTGTTAACATTTTCGGTAGGCATTTATATATTCTTGATAAATATATTAAATAATTTGAGATATTTATTTATCATAAATAAATATTTGTAGGTTGATAGATTGACAATATTGCTAACATTTTGCTTATTGGATCTAAAGAAAGCTTTTTGCTATCCTAAAGCTAATTTGTAGAAGAAATACATTGGAAGAAGAATGATTATAAACGTTCAACTATTAACTAAATCGATCTACAGCACGATTGTTGTGCATAAAAAAGATAATCATTTATTTAGGAGAAAACGCGATCGAGCGTGAAAGCCGAGATCGCTTCTCGATCGGAGTCGCTGACCGTTAAAAATTAAATTACTACGTACTTTATAATCGCATCTAGCGATCGATTAGTCACGATCGTAGATCAGTGACCGCCCACATAGTCGAACGAACTATAAAACGACGCAACAGTTACTTCCGAACTATTTCTGTCAATTCGTGCCCTCTCTAATTTATGTTATAGTTCTTGATAGCATCTCCAATAATCACCATCTGTGATAGCATTAATAATCTTAAAACAATAATTTTTCTTCTAAAACTGATAAAATTATTATCATATTTTAAGTTATTATTTCTATACAACATCTATCAAACATTAAATGAAGCATATGTTACGTTAAAAATGTTGTAAAATTTAACTTAAATATTTGAATATTTAAGTATATATTAGTTAATATTGCATAATTTGGTTAAATTGGAATTAAAAGCAAACATACTTCTACAAAAATTAATAAAATATTTTCAGCATAAGCATGCATTGCGAGAGCTAATCGTTGATTTAATTACTTCCCGCAGGCACTTATGACCGGACACATTTAATATCTTTCAGTCCTTTATCTTCCATTAATTTTTCTAGCAATTATTCAGATGACTGTGTGAATAATTACGCAGCACTCGCTCGGTTTACCACGATGAATAGTCTGTCCGATCGTTATCTTAGATTAACATTTGATTAAGCGCTGATTATTCAATTACGGGAAAATATCTTGTTACACTCAATTGAGCCCTCATGCAACTATGATAAAACGTGCGTTAAGTAATGGTCTGCTAACATTATTATTTGTGTGTGATTATAATATATCAATATGTAGTTGAATAGAAAGTCTGTGGACTTTATTGATAATCGACAATTATCTATAACATCTTAATTAGAGCGTAAATACAAGTATAAAAAAATAACAAGCGTGTTTAGCTACTGTGACTCATTTTTAGCAATATAAGAATGGCGGCTAGATCGTTTTCGGATTTTTTTCATCGTTTGCATTGTCCGTTATAGTGATCTCTGACCTAAGAAAGAGGCAGAGTTGCCCCCGAATAATTCCGATGTCATAAATAACAATTCCGTGGACTTCCGGGCGGACCCCCGTCCTCCGTAGGAAACCGCAGAGACCTAGCAGAAAAGATGATTGGCGATCGGGAGGGAGAAACGAGTTTATCCGGGTGGGGCCCTCTCCGCGCGCCAACCCCCCCGCTGTCGAACGCGCGATGGGAATAAAATGTGAAACTGTAAATTGTGCGTGGGAAGAATCGGTCCCTGGGTAGTCGTGGCGGTCGACCATGCTTTTCGTAGGGCGGCCGGGGGTGGAATGGTGAACGAGGATAGAAGGGCTGGACGGGTGGCGTAAAGCAGCACGAGAGAGGATCGGTTCTCGTCCGAGCGGGACGGGGATCTTCGAGGATTTAAATGCGCGTTCGGGCGAGCGAGACTGAGGGTGTATCTCTCTGTAGATTCGGGGTTGGAAATTTGTTAGGTTACGTCGGGGCTATCACTCCCTAGTGAATATGAAAAAAGAATTCCTCGCGCGCGAAGTTTTTCGAGGGTCGGCCAGGGGCGAAAGCGGCATGTCGGTACTCCTCTCGGCACCCGTTGCCTCCGTAAAAGCGCGTGGGAGTTGAGGTGATGGTTGTACGGGGAGAGGCCGCTGGCCGGAGGGTAGAAGGGATGTAACATGGTGCCAGGAATATAAAGTGGGGGATAAAGGAGATGGCGGTCACATATGCGACTCGTAAAAGCTCTTCTGAAAAGCTGCATCCGTCCTGCCCTCTTTTCTCTCTTTTTTCACGACGATTCCGTCGGAGGAGGAACCCAGCCACTTTTGTTCCAATGACGACGTGGCTTTCGCGCTCTCAATGCTGCCGTTGACCATAAAAATTTGGCTCTTGAATACATGATTTGAGAAAAATATTTGTGAGCAATTTTACGGTTAAGACATAATCTTTTTCTCTCTGCGTTCAAATTAAGAGCAATATTGCAGTTACGAAACATCGGATTAGGAAAGTGCAAATTAGCGCAATTATGCAATGCCAACAAAACGTGACTACAGGCCAGCCATTAAGCGCGTGATGGCATTACGTTTCTATGGAAACGTGTCTTACCCCGGTTATCTTTCGATATCGACGAATATTAAGAAATGCCGTTCGAGAACGGCATTTCCGTACATTTGCGGACGGAAAATGAACCATTCGTTTGCCGAATGGAACGAGGTACTGTCTATGCATGGCACGGACGCACCACTATCCAGCCCCCATAAATAATCGTCCCTCTCTTTTAGCCTCAGCCTCTTTCCTCTTCCTTCGCTCTCAATCCTCTTTTTTCCTTTCATCGCCCTCTCGCCTACTTCTTCTCTCTGTCTAGATGGGTATTCAAGAATATTGTACGAGCTTTCTAGGATAAGGAAAATATATAACCAAGATATGAGGCTTGTAGAAATCAGTATCGGAATAATGTATTATGCACAAGAGCCCCAAATTAATCGTTTAAAGTGTCGCATTTTTTATATAAAAATTTTCACTTTTTAAAATAAATAAATTATATACAATACTCGGTGACATTCCACAAAATTAAATTAAAACATTTTTATTTGATATTAAAAAAACCAAAAGTTTAATTTTATTCATACACTTATTGCCAGTCTAAAAATTTAACAATTTGAAGTTGATCGTCAATATGCTTTATTAAAGAGCATAATTATTGATAACTAATTAATAAATAAAATTCCCTTTTTAAAAATCTCCAAAAAATTTCTACACGTCTGCTGTAATGAAAAGGAAGAACTTGTCCTGCAGCATTTGTTTCAAGCAAATATTGCTCATTTCTCTTTCACTTGTGTTATTCTTTTAACCTTTGAGACATAAATGACGAGTTACAAAAAACACGTAGTTTTGAATGAAACTGCTTTTTGCGATGGTACTGACCAACGCTTCCAGACAATTCTTGGCGGGTTTGTCGATCGTTTAATCGTCCATTTCCACCTGTCAGCCCTAGTCGATGGAAGCACAAAGGCGATCTCTATCCTGAGGAGAAACTCCGACAAGAAAGCGAGGCAACATTCGGCTAGGGTGATTGCGGGAATGGGCAGTGAGGGAAGAGGAAGAAGAAGTCTGACATTCGAGGAGTCGACAAAGATTATGAAGCGCATACTGCGGCAAATAAAAATGGTTTCCGCGGCGGGGGAGAAGCGGAAAACAGAGACATTGTTCGTCGCAGGGAGTTGCTGGAGGATGCTTCGTGAGAGAATGAGAGAACGGGTGGTCGGGCTAACGATAAATGTCCTGTGGTTAGTGCACAACGTACAATTTATAACGTGACATCTCGTATTAACTCGTTATCGTTCTTTTCGCGATATATATTAAAAATCGGATTAATGTTAATTTTTCTCTAAATTCAATACTAAGGAAATAATAAAAATATACTTTTCAAGATTGCAGAATTGGATTTTTCTTATCGTTATTATCCTTGTTACGTGTAAAAAAAGGATTCCATGAAAAATGATACCAAGCTTATCTTTATTTCGTAATCTTTCGAGATCTTCCAGACGTCAAATGACTGTTAAGTTATTATATCGCGTATCTGGCATCGGCGCATTATGCATCGAGCGTTACGAGATTAATTATAATTATAGCCTGCGGATAGAACGAATATATCGGGGTATGTCGAAAAAAAACTGCGAAATGCAAATAGCGTTGCAAGATTCACATAGATTGTGGAAAGTAGATAATGGATTTTGCTTCTGTGCAATGCTCGCGGAGTGGAAAGCTTAAAATAATTAATCGTACTTAACGGTAGTGACTCAACGAGATTTAAGCCAACAAAACGCGTTCCGCTTCCTACGCGCCAGCGTGTCGGTTTACGGCAAAAATAAATAATATTTTTTATGATACAGGAAATTGCTATGCTATTGTAATAAGTGGGCGTTAAAGATCATAGCTATTAAATACGGAACTAAATTGCAAAAGTATTTTCATAATCCTATGTGTCTAATATATTGATAAACGCTCACACTCCTAGAAAATTTGTTTTCTCTAAATTTAGTAAATGACAAAAATTAAGCGCCCGACTATATCAAAATGCGTATTTTAATAGGTATAATTAATGCAATAATTGATTGGTATTTTCAGTAAATTGATACAACGATCAATCTATGGTTCTGATGGCAAAACTGTGATTACGGCGAGAGAGAAGAGATGCGGGGTTGAGAGCTTGAATGACGCCAGGACCAGGACCGGGGTGAGTTTTCTTGCTCGATGGACACCTTTTTCTTGCGCCGATTGTGTGTTGTGTGGTCGCCGCGACACAAATAGCGTATGATTGAGTGAACGCCGCGAGGGATTTTCCGGCGTAGGAATGGCGGAGTGAGTGAGTTTCGGAGTGAGTGGCGCGACGAGGGGTAGAATAGTAGAAGGAACGTGGACATTTAGCTGTACGGAGAGGGTAAGGCACCCCCATGCAGCCTCGCGGGAGTGTAACAGCCCCTAAAACGATGCTGCCGAATATACAGCCGTACCTTTCTTTTTCTCGAAATTATTGCATGCCAACGTGTGCGTCCGTTCGATCCGTTTATCCCTGGATTTTCTCCCATTCGAATTGACGTCGTAGCATGAAAAATATTTCTCATTTCAATGCAATAATTAGATTTTTTATTAATTACATTGCAGCAATTTAAATAATTAGTTTAATATCTAACAAACGTAACAAACTTCAACAAAAATAAATTAAATACGTCAACATTTAGATTCTTCATATTAACGTAGGTGTAATACTTATAATTTATTTACAATAAAAAAAGTGCGATGATTAAAAAAATTAAAACACGCAAAAATAGAAATAACATTATGTGAAGTCGAACTAGTCGAACAAGAAAGGCATTTGTGTTCCAAGAACCAAAATTGAACTGTAAGGTATATCACTGTTAGAGCTTTATTCGCTCTTTTCCATTTCGAGGTAAACGAAATCATCGATAGTCGGCGGGGTCGATCAAGTAGATGTAACCCCTGAACTCGACTCTTTCTTTCTCTTTTTCTCGCTCACTTTCGTTCTCGCCGTCAGTAGAAACGGAAGCGGGGGTTTGGCGGTTCCTGGTTTATCCGACCAGCGTTTCTGGCCGCGTATCGCGGTATCTTATCGTATCGATATGACGGCCCTGAGGGTCGCCCGAAGTAAAATCATTAGTAATGCCATTGTGTTACCCTCCATCCTCAACCATTCTTGTTCCCGGGGACAACCGCCGCCGTGCCTATGGTCTTTTTTGCAAAACGAGCGATGAAAGAAGAAAAGGATATATCATCCGATCATTTCTGACTTATCTCGTAAAATCTCTACGTTCTATCAAATTGAAGAGAATCCGAAATTGTGGCCAAAACATTTCTTTATGCATTAATAATTTTTGCACTCCGACAAATGCGTGCCGCGCTTCTGGTTCTTATTGCCTGTGTTCGATATTTAAACCAATTTGAACGAAAATATAAGCGTCAAAGTATTTTTCCAAGAAAATTTATAAAATTTTCATTACTCAATATAAATGCATAGTATTTATTAGAAATTTATTCAAAGAAAATAAACATTTACTTTACCAAATTGCAGTTTAATGATGAGAATATCGATCGTTATAAGAATATATTTATGTGAAGGACTAGCATAATTCCTGTAATTTAATTCACAAACTGGCGAGGAACCTCGCGTGTCATAAAGCAGAATAACATTTCTCTCTCGCAAATGGCCCGACGATATTTTATATCGATCAAAACAGCCTCCATCGTGCACTCAGTATCGCACGCATGGCCTAAAACGATCCAAGCGGAAACTTTTCACTTTGATTCCAGTATTTATCGGCACTCATTACGATCACTGTAATCGACATGCAATTAGCTCGAGTAGATTAATATCGCTCGAATATTGCTAATGGGCACTTTGCCGATATGTATAGATAGGTGTGTATTTCGCGCACAAATACATGCCTATTATATCTATTATGAAAGAGATACAGGCCATCCACAACAGAAAGAAAAAAAAAAACAACAAAAAAATAAATCATGTCCATTCGATATTTTAAAAGCGTATTTCCATTAAACTGAGGGCACAATCTGATTTTAAGCAAAATGCAGTTTGCCAAATAAATAGAAGTGCTTGAATTAATAAATATAAAAAACATAATTTATAAAAAATACATATAATATGATAAATATATTTTAGAAATGATCTGAATCTTATTATATTATAATCGTAATTATTATCGAAAATCGGGACAATCGCGGAATTTCGTAATATAAATGATATTACTGCGATCGGTAATCCGGCGCACATTCTAGATATATGCTATAGGACGTCCTATAGCGTCTCCGACCGAGACGACGAGAAGATATGACGTCCATTCGATATTTCGCGAGATATAATATAGATACATGTGCGCGAGATATTCCGGCCATATACGTACAACGTATCGATACAGTGCGATAGATAGGTAGAAGGTATGAAGGAATATGATGCGCTCCTATCCAGATATGTGAACGACGCAGATATAATACAGGTAGATACCTATATATAGAACGCCCCGAGTCCGGGATTCTCTGCCGCGGACGTCTGCTTCACGATAAGATACGGCGCGCAGCTCCGGCCGAGATCTCTCCGGTTTTGCAGAAAATTCGCGGACCCCCCTTTATCGGGTTTTCTGATAGCGTTCCTTTTTTTCCTTACGGGCAGTGGCGAGAGGCGGGACGAGTCGGGAGGGAAAAAGGAAGTTGAAGTCCACGCCGAAGTGGATATCGACATTTGGTTCCGTATAAGCGGCTCGAATCAGATTAGAAGCCCGATCACCGGACGCCAGCAGCGACTTCGATATAATCAAAACGAATTTTCGACGATTCTCTTGATAGTTACGATGTAATAACTGTCGCTAGCATAAGTTGTCTCAAGCACCAGATTTGTAAGGTCGGTGCTGAGAAAAATTGGAAATGTTGGAAGAATGGTCTCCGCTGATAATGCACATATAACAAATGGCTAGTCATTATACTGCAAATTTTATAACAGCGTGGATTCTTCTTACATTTTTTATACAACTTAAATTGCAAAAATTCATCGTTACAATCAGATCGCGAGAATTAATCCATTTTTCCCATTGAAACGCACAACAAAGCGAATCTTATAGGCTCTGTCTGCGAGGTGGACAATGGGTGATCGGCGAAATTTAAACGTCATGTCGAAAGGATTTCGGATTAGATACCGCTTGCATCCTGCGTCTTGTAAGCCCTCCGATAACAAACGTTGAACAAAACAGCAATCAATAAAGACGAAGTTAGGATCCGTACGGCGGATTCCTTCAATCAAATTAGGAACATCAAAGTACCCAGCAAGGCGAAGGAAAAGGACGAAAGGACGAAAAGGTGGATGAGAGGAGAGCTTGTGCAGGGTGGAGGTCGACATTCCTCGAGGGGTAGCTGCCAGGAATTAGCCTCTATCTCCAGAATCCGAACCTTCGAGACAAAGAGCTACTCCCCCGCCTCCTATTCTTTCCAACCCCTGACTCTCTTCGTCATTTTCCTCGGCTCGCGCACCCGGGACTTCTTGTACTTCCTGATACCGGTTCGCTTAAAGAATCGTCTTGGGCGTGGTCTGCGGATTGAGTTTCAATAATTTGCCCCCGGAATACTAAACCGTCCCATGAGACAAAGCGCTAACGATTAATAGATTTCATCGTCCTTGGAAAAAGGAATTGGTTGACTTTCAAGGCGCAGAATAATTTTGTTCAAAAATTATTCGGAAAATGTTCTTGCAGATATTGAGCATTTTTATTTATATATCACACATCTTTCTCCTCTATCGTGTTAAGTATGAAATGCAAAATTTGTGTTGAAAGAAAGTTACGGAAATAAGAAAATATCTTTAACGTACAACGTTTTCGCGCAATACGCACGCATACGTGTATTTTGCTAAAAACGCACGTACGATACTATCTCGTAATTGCGCGGCGCGCAACAATCAGAATGAAAAACTCCCGGTCTGTTTGATGTTTCGACACGCGTGGTGCGTGGCCGAGTGATGAGCCGCAAGCGTAAAAATCGGACGTTTTCCGTGTGGTATGTGGTGCATATCGTCATTACGCATTTATTTATTACAATCCTACGATTTCCCGGACGCCGTGCAGATGAGTGAAAATTGTTGTGTAGAAATAATTACAGCCGAACAAAACGCTATCTATAATGAAGTTCCATGATGCTTCAGCTATGAGATCACGTTCAGTAAAAGTAGACTAGTAACAATTGCAGACTAGTAACAATAGTAATAGAAATGATAATAACAGGACAAGTAGTAACAGTGATCAATGATACAAAATAATCGTCATATCACGCGGAACGCAATGAGAAATAGCATATCGATTTAACGTGTTTACTGTACTAAAAGATAATGCGAATGCAATTATAAAAACATAAAAAGATTTTTTTAGCATTATTAAAACCGTAAGAGAGAACATTTTATCATAATTGAATATCGCAATAACACTTTAAATTTGACGTAATAACGATAATAAAATAAACTAGCGGTTTTCCAATATCTTCTGGATAACGCGAAATGAAACATCTCGGAAATCCCCCGTTCGAATAAACGCGAACGCTTCGAAAAGGAGTCTTAAATCGCAAGCGGGGAAATCTTTCTCGATCGTCGCTCTCTCGCGCCCGATACGAAGACGCGACATTTTTCTCGAGCACATCGCCGTCGTAGAAGCTCTCGATCGCACGATCGGAAGTTCCAAAAATCGTGTAAACGACCGCTTCTCTCCGCGACCGGGTGGAGTGTCGTTCTGCTTGGGGGTGGAAAGATTTGACGCGTAGACAATGGCCGTTGCATCGTCGAGCGGTGCGTCGAGAGGACGGGGGTTGCGAGGGGTTCTGGTAGTTGCAAAGACGGGGTGGTGGCGGGAAGAAGGGAGGAGAGGGAAGTGGGCTTGCGCAAGCGCCCCCAGGAAAGTGGCGGCATAAGCGGCCGCACGGGAGAAACCACCCCGGCGGTGCGATTGTGAGGTCGAGACGGAGCTTTAGAAGGGAGAGAGAAAGAAGGAAGGAAAGGGAGAGGCAGTGTAAGACGAGGGCGAGTGGGGGATGTAAATGCCCCTGTGATGTATCGGATCGATGCGGCAGCATCCAGACACCCCCCGCCTTACTACGCGACCTAAAAACGTTCTCCGAGGCAGGGATGAGTTACGGCTATCCTTTTCCTTTCGTCGTAATTTCGTGCCG